GATCACTTCTGAGCCCGTTCGTATGGTCTCCACATTCCCAGTTCAAACAAGCATTTTGCTCAGCAATCTCACTGGAAGTCGCTGCATTCCTCAAGTGCTTCTGCGTGTGTACGTGTGTTATTCTAGCATTCTGTTTGGTTTTGGGTGATGTTCTTGAATCCTTTCAGGGATTTTTGAGCGTTCTATATTTTTCATAACTCTATTAGACGCAGCTCTTTGCGTCATGGCGTAGTGGACACTTTTACAGTTGATTTTATCGGTTTGAAATTAAAATGTTGAGAGAAATTGCGATGGAATGCGGGACTCCAAATGCAGATGTACTTTTTCAATGGCCAATGAAAAGAAAATGAGAGGATATTCAGACAGGAAACTCTTACAATAATACAGCTCATCTATTTATAGACGTTGAAGTCGAATAAGATTTTTTTGTCATGAATCATGTGGTTATTTCCAGATTCGATACCAACGAAATGTATCGTGTGCATTACGCAATGTGACATGCTCTTATAAAAAAAATCTAATTTGATCTCGGGTTTTTCTTGACAGGTATTCGACGAGAAACGTGTCGACTCGTTCACGAAATGACGGAAGTCTCAAGAAATTAAACGATTTTTGCAATGCATTATGTTTGGAGGCCTAAATTGGGTCCAAAAAAAATCAACTGAGGGCAATAGAAAGCCCAAGATAAACTGCAAAACTTCAAAAACTTTTGTTCTCTGAGATTCTGTCCCCAGCATCAATCTTTGACTTCACTTTTCCAGGCCAACCCCTGGCCTCTAAAAATTGTCTGAACCAGAGTACAGTACTGTATCAAGGCAAGTCACAATAATTAATGAAATTTATCTTATATTCATCATCAATCTGAGCCTAGCTGTAGTGCAGTGAACAGTCTTTGAAAAATTAGCTTGCTGAGAGGTTCTTTGTACTGTCTTTTTTTGTGTCTTGAACTTGTTCTGAAAATCTTGAAGAATTCTTAGTACAATTTGTAATACAAATCTAAATTCAATTATCTTGGCAATATTGTACCAGGTTGAATCTTGCTTCCATTAATTTTTGATCCCCAGCCATTACTTTCCTCCTTGTGTTGTTTTGACATTTGTCAACAACATCTGAGTAAGAATCCTTATTTCATGTATAAAAACATCAGCTCAAGCACTGATTTTCGATTGCATGTTCATATTCCATTTTTACAAATATCAAATCATTGAATAACCAGAGACATTTTGTCACATGTCAGACAGTTATGATGGAAAGCTGGATTAAAGAGCCCTAATGATTTCCAGGATGTGTGTTGTACGTAGAGAAGAAGCCATCTTTCTTTGAGTGTGTATATAGCTGCAAAATCCAAATCATATTTTGGAAAATATTACTAGTTTTTGATATACTGTATTCTTCTTCCGCTGATTTGAAGTTTTCTCAGACTTGGAATTTTCAGAAGAAATTTTCTAAAACTTTCGACAAGTTCAAGGCGTAAACTAAACACATCACGGTACGGTCAACCCATGTCTGACAGACTTAATTCGTGTAGCAGACAAGTCTGTTAAACAAAAAGTCCTTTAGATGAATTCAAATACTGTATATAAAAAATTAAAAATTTCAATTTTCAACACTAAATTTATACCAAAAGAAGTCCGTTTGGCGGATTTTGTCTGTTGGGCGGGAGAAAAAACGGCCTGCAGAGCTGGTCTGTCAGGCAAATGTCCCTACCACGGGAGGTCTGTTAGCCGGGGGCCACTGTATCGTACTACATGAACGTTTTTCAATGTGAAAAACTTGACTCAAACCGTGATTGTAAATAAGCAGCTCATTTATCTCGGGAAGTCTACCACAAATATTCTTCCCGCATGGAAAAAAATGCGTGGATCATCCGTGTGCACATTCAATGCTTATGATATTCTATTCTAATTATGTCTTTAATGATAATGAGGGATTTTTCAATGCGTATATCAATCCTGAATTATAGGATAGCCGTGTCTTAATCCTGACTGCTGCTTCCCACACGTGTGAGATGGACAGAAATTCCATGTCTTTTTGGCCCCTCTGAAATAGAGCATGACACGTATACCCGGGTATAGCTGATATCACATATAGGATAGCCGTGTCTTAATCCTGACTGCTGCTTCCCACACGTGTGAGATGGACAGAAATTCCATGTCTTTTTGGCCCCTCTGAAATAGAGCATGACACGTATACCCGGGTATAGCTGATATCACCCCCACCACAATTTATTGCACGACAATAGTGTTTTCTACATTGTTTTCATTCCCATCAGGTCTTGTCGGGGAATCAAGTCGGTCGAGTTGACTTATTCGATCTATGCTCTCTGCCCACGCAACCAGGGAAACCCCTTGCTGTCCTACCCAAACCCGTATAAAGGGCCTCCCCTACTGAGCTGGACCCCCGCATTCCTTCTTCTTCTTGTAGGGCAAAAAGAGAGCAGGAGCAGACTGTCGAACACCAATGTATAACTTGAAGCAATCGTCATTTGGAACTGCAGACGATGAAGTCGGATATGCTGTTTCCGTGGCTCCCGTTTGAATCGAATGACTATATAGCTCTTTTCGTTGCATATATAAACCCAAAAAGTGAATGAATGAGGAATTGAACCTGTTCGAAGGGTTGGAAAAAACTAGGCCGGTTATAGAAAGAAAATTGTCAGACAAGATGAAGGATCGCCGTGATTATGGATCGATAGAAAATGGTTTGAATGTTGATGAGATGCCTGCGTATAATTCCAAGGCATGCAGAATCGTGTTACAGTATATCCATTAAAATTTCGTTAAAAATCCTGGTTCGGAGTTTTCAACATAATTTGATCAACCCCAGACACTTGAAAATAAAAATAAAAATTGAACTGTTGAAAAAATAGCCAAGTCCAGAAATATACGTAATTTTTCTGTCGCAGCAGAAAAGATTTTGCAGAGCAAAAAAATTCTCCCGATGCTAAGTTAGTCTTTTTAAACTCTCAGAAAGAGGACTAATTTAGTGAGGTCTGTTGGACATTGCAAATTTTTCTCAATTGGCTTTTCCTAAGATTCTGTTCAGGTGCTTTTTTGGCTGGTGACCTTTGGTTGAGCGAAAATGTGTCAGCCGTTTTTTTTTTTTTTTCTCTTGCTAAGAATCCTGCGGCACAGAGATGCGATAGAAAACAATAATCCATGGTCAAGAGCCCGATTCCTATTAGAAAGAGCTTCACATTTTTTATTCAAGATTTAATCGACGATAAGGGGCTTTGATTCCAAATACAGAATGTTTTTTCAAGTCGCTTTCTCAAAGTCTTTCGGAGACATCACAGTTCGAAAATATTTCACGATAAGGGGCTTTGATTCCAAATACAGTATGTTTTTTCAAGTCGCTTTCTCAAAGTCTTTCGGAGACATCACAGTTCGAAAATATTTTTTACGTCCACGTCCTTCCTATATGAAAATCCGTACAACACACGTACCGCACCCTGATTTTTGGCAGTCATTTGAGGAAAACTATGTAAATGTTTCCATTTCCGAAATTTTGGAAGTCATAGAATGAAATTCAGCGCTGAAAAGACGTGTTGACTCCCAACTGAAATTAATTCGCAAATTTTTCTTGGACATCCAAGTGACACGGAGATCTCACGACTCGGTAAAGAAAAACTTATAAAATGCCGAAATAACTTTGAAAAACGCCATAAATTAAACATGATGGGACAATGATTTATCTCATGTTTTCCAATAACTGGTCTCAGTGTGTTTCCATTTACACAATTCCGTGCTTAAGTCGCAATTTCTATCCCGGAATATACTTCGATTACTCGTCATATCCGATGTTTTTTCTTTTCTTTTTGGATTGATTTGAATTTTTGCAGAATTTAGCGGAAAAAAATAATTATTCTGTTATTTTATTCAAAGTTATCAATGTAGACATCCACTATATGATGTCCTTTGGCGCATCAATCAAGAATACCGTGAAGAAGATTGAATTTTACATTTTGTGGTTGTGAGGAAAATAAGGTGGAATACTTCTAGTTGCGTTTGTGACCTTTGTATAGAGAAAGGTTGTGGACAGTATTTTCCCTTGCAGGGTGCATCATTTATGCAAACTTCCTTATGAGTCATCTCGCAGCATGCACACAATCGCCTTAGTTCGGAGTGCTATACTGGAAAAATTATGAACCCGGAAGAAAATAGAGAATCGCAACACGGATTTTTCTCTTTTTCTCCCTCTGTCTCTCAAGAGATTTTTTTCATCTTTTTTTTCTCTCTCTCTCTCTTCAAGATGAACCAATCTTCAGCAGCAGCACAATTTGCTCCAGCGGAAGCGAGATCTGCGAGCGAATTTCGCGTGCGGGGCAAAAACGGAAATGCATTCATGATTATTTCGTTGTCCTTCTCAGCTCTCTATATGTATACGGCGGTCTCACATTCTTCGAATGTTTTATTTTAAAGATCTGCAAAGACTGAAATCATCGAATTGAGAAATCAGTACGAAAAAAAAATTAAAAATGAAAAACGGCGAGGTTCAACACAAAATTTTCGTGCGCGTGAGAAGCTGACAGATTTCGAGTATTGCTTAAGCAAGATAAAAGCCATATTTCGCCGATTCACGCGTAATATTGCGAACTTTGAATATGCAAAATGTTTTGTTTGACCCCGAAGAAACATTTTATGAATTTCTCGACCCCTTTCCGGCTTCCACGCGTTCGAGTACGAAGTATTCCGTAGTTTTTTTTAGTGGACGTAATGGTTTCTTTATTTTCAGAAGTAAATCCATTCTAAGAAATATTAGCATCTTGCATGTTTTGGATTTTAGGGAAATTTTGAATTGGTATTGGGTCGATATTGTATCTAATTTGAGAACAAATATTTTTTTCGCTGTCGGACCCAACTTTTTAAAGATTTTTACGACACTTACTTGCTTTTATATTTAGACTCTTCAAGCAATCAAGCAAGACAGATATGTGACCTCCATTTAGGTTTGTTTAGGCTCATAAAATTTTAACCATTGATACTAGCCGGTTTCTGGCAGGTTTTATTTATTCATTGGTACAATCATTCCCCAATAAAGAAAAGTTTAAGAAAATTCCCGTCTACCTGCGTTTCATGCAATTCATCGCTTGTTTTTAAATGCTAACGGAATGAACGAGATCTTTTCGATACAATAAGTACTGGCCGAATCATCAAAGTTGATTGAAACCCAGCTCAAGAAATATCCAAAGATTAAACATATAGATAAATAATTCAATGAAAAAAAAAAAACAAATTGCGCAGCTTCCAGCGTGTATCGTGCATTCTTTTCTCTTTTTTTTCTGATGGTTTTAAGATGCCTTTTCTCGCTTTTAAACAGACTCAGCCCCAGCGGAGTGGTTGAATCCTTGGTCGACTCTGACGCGTCATCAGGTCCGGAGAAGAATCATCAATGACGTCGGGAATGCGACGTTTCAGTGCTGTGCCAAGCTCATTGCGGATTCGAAACCACCTGAAAAATGGAACAGAACAAAGAAAAAACAACACAGGGTGGGGTGAGGAAAGAAGACGAATGATATTGGAGTATAGGTCATGGAGAGCTTTCCTGAATTTTGCTCCGGTCCCGGAGGCATTAGAAATCGCATCAAGCTCAGCATTAGTGAGAAAGAAGGGCATTTATAATTTACAGAGGGATTTCCAGATCAGCAGGTAATGCTGTTTGGCTGCTGCATGGAAAGATACATCGTCGTCGGTAGTGGCCTTAAAAAGCAAAAAAAAAAGAAACACATAAGCCCGTTTTGTTTAAAACAGGTTAATTGGGATTAAAACGGAACTTGTTACTTTTGTTCACCGACGAATGCTTATTAGATGCCTACACGCGGTGAAGCTGTACACTATGCCATCAATCCATTTGAAGCAAAAAACACAATATATTTTTGAAAATTATGGAATGAGATACGGTAGAGATACTTTTTGTTGAATCAGTGCAGTATTCGTCATCCTTACTTAATTTTTCTCTCTGACGACGTTTATAATCAAAATCTCAACAACTACAAAACATTGTCTAAAAATCTAATTTACGATATTTTTGATCATTTCAATTTTTTGACATATCAACAGGTTTCGGAAGGAATATAAAACATCCTGTCATCATTACAACCATAACTTTTCTCTTCTATATTCAGTTGAAATTAATTTCTTGTCTACTATATTTCTAAAAATTTAGGTAACACCCAAATACTTTTCAAAAACATTTTCCTGATCCTATAACTGTCTTTTTTTTAATAAATCACAAATGCTCTGAACCAAAACTAAAATCCATGGAAACTACTTCAAGTTTTCTTAGAAAGAAAAAAAACATGCAGCCCATTATTTCTACGTTAAAGAAATGAGATAGAAATGAGATATAAAGCTAAATTAAGACAAAAAGATCTTTAATGTGGGTTTCCGCATTTAATATTATAAAGAGATTTAGAATCCGACGTACAGTACCTATACCAAAGCTCTGTCATAAAGAGGTACATTAGCATATCTTATGGGGTTTGACTTCTACATGCAAAACTAAGTCTGAAAAGTGGTTTACATTTCGAAACTGGCATGAAGATTTCATGTTTCAGGGTAAATAATTTTCGAGCCTATTTGCGTTGAATTTCGTTGCCCTTCATGGGTTCTGGTCGATTTTGAAGGATCGTTAGCTTGTTTAAAAACTGACGTGAACAGTTTTAATTCTGCTCAATCTTAATCCTAGTATTGTCTTCGTCAAAAATAAAAATTATGCTTCAAAATACTTTAGTCCATTTGCGTAAAGTCTTACAGATACCCCTACCTTCTTTTCTTCGAGCAGAGATTGCTAAAAATAGCCCCGCTCATTCCATCCGGTCTTTTCTTTTAAATTATTTAATGAAACCCGTCTGAAGCCAGCAAATAAGCAGCCTCTTTGACCCCCAGGGTTTAACCTCTGTCGTCCATTCCATCAATATTCACGCGTGATCTCGTGAGTGAACTGAAGGGTACACATTATCATCAGTAGTTCTAATAAGATGCTGAAACGCCTATTCATATGTCGTGTTTCAAGCATAAAAGCTTTCCGCTGTAAAAATCTAGCCAGAAGATCAATCACATGTTTTTAGTGATTACATATGATTTTCATCAAGGTACGAAAGGCTATGGCAGGGAATCACGATGTCGTATAGTTTTTCATAAATCCATCTGCCCATACAAAATCGGACAGACAGCAGAGCATTGAATGTATTTAAAATTGCATTAAACAAAGGTCACATCAATAAGCTGGAATCGAAATCTTGGACCGAAAATCACATAAATGATTAATTTCGTAAGTCTATACACCCTGTGACCCAAGTCTAAATTGCTATATCATGTATGCTGTGGCTCAAGATGAATGTTAATGATTTTTTCTGCTTGAATTAAAATACGAGCAGTCCTATGTATAATGTTTCGGATCCTTTTTTGGCTGCTTTGGAAAGCTGAAATTCGATGTCCGAAAAGCACATATATATTTTTAAGTATTCCTTCAAAATTTTACTGATTCACACAAATCATGAGATAGTCAAGATGATCTTCACTTCATGGTGAGGACTTCGTTTTGGACGAATGATTTTTTTTAATCTTTCGGAAAGCTTTTCTGCTTAAAAGCCGATATTCAGAAAGTGATTGAGTTCGTTCGGCGACTTAAAATTGAAATTGAAAAAATTATTTTCTCACATTCGAATGCGCATATACAGAAAGGATTACTTAAAATGTTGAAAGTAAGATTTTTGGATTCAATTTGAAGTTAGATTAAGTATTCTTCGAATTTACGCGGATGACCGAGTGTTTTCCCAGGAACATTTTTTCCCCGTCCAATCTGGGATCAAGCTTAAAGAGAATAACAGAGTATTGAAAAATAAAACTTTGAAGCATGAAAAGAATGGATTTAAAATCGAAGATTTATGAAATAAATAAGGATTGGATTTTGAAGTTATTCGACTGGTTGTACAACAGTCCAGTCAACCACCTGATGCTGAACAATTCCTAATTTCTCAGGAAAAAGTTTTTTTTCCTTACACAAACGAAACCCGTTTCATTAATTTCTTGCAATGACCGATGATTTTAGCTTTTCAAAATATTGCAGTACTGTACTAATTTTAAAGGCAGTCAAAGATTTTTTGCATGACCAGAATTCACTTTGAATTCATACCTGGAACGGGCTTCGTTGTTGCCTTCCAACAGATCTTTGATCATACGCGACAAAAGCATCTGCTGATGTTCGGCTCTCTGCAAATATGCTGCTGCTGGCTCAAACGCCAGTCTTTTAGCCTTATTGCCCCCATCATTGCGAAGCAGTAATTTGCGCACAAATTCTTCCGGCGTGATTCGCATGTGCGGAATGGTTGGCGGGTCTCGCGGCAAACGTTCGACAGCCCTTTTCACGCCAGGCGTCCCAACTAATGCCTCAATTTCAGTGTCGTCTGCGTCGTTGATCTTGTTCTGGTGGTGATTATCATCATCGTTAGTATCTTCATCGTCGTCGGGATCGTGTTCGTCTGGGAATTGCGTCAGTTGTGAGTCGTGGTCGATGGCCATGAGTCGGGCCAGACGCGACACTTGGGTTTCCACTGAGGAATCTTCCAATAAGTCGTTTTGCTGCAATTGTTGTTGTTGTTGTTTTTGTGGTTGTTGGTAGGATGCACCGGTGTCATGCACGAGCTGACAAAGGAGCAACATTCCAAGCACGATTCGAATGCATTTTGCCTTTGTGCTGCTGCAGTTCATCATGTTGATTCTGGCTCTGGATCCTGAGCAAAAAATATATGAAAGAAAGAAATATGTTTCATTAGGTAAACGAATATAAAAATCATAGCTCATAATGATGAATAACATATACAATTGTTCCCCTACCCTGTTGGGCCTGTGGACCGATAAATATTTGTTAAAAATTATTTGTATAGAAGGACAAATTCCCACGAGATTTTAGCAAAGCAGCAGTTTTTTTTGAATGCCTGCCATAAAGTCCTCCAACCCAAAATGTTATTCAACAAATTAAATTAACCCTTGGAAAGCAGAGGGTTCCTGTCTATCCTGCAGCAGAGTTGAGATGTTTTTCTTTTTTAAGGAGAGCATTTCACTTTGACTGAAGGTCACTGAAATGCCCCAGGTTGGAATAAAGGCCTAAGTTGGGTAAAATCTGTGCTGAAAATATCCTTTTGTCTTTAGGAATCCTCAATTTTAATCCTATGCTAGTATAATGCATGCTGGAAAACCACCCATCAGTCAGAAAAATTTTGAGGCAACATTTTCTGCAGGATTATACAAACGTATTGAACTTTTTCCCAACTTACGCTTTGGCCCAAAAATAATATATTTTACATTCTTGGTGTTCATATAGGCACAACATTTTTAAAAAATATTCCAAGTTTTTCAAAAATATCCCAAATTTTTCACAAATATCCCAAATTTTTCAAAAATATCCCAAAATTTTTCAAAAATGTCTCAAATTTTTCAAAAATATCGCAAATTTTTCAAAAATATCCCATTTTTCAAAAATATTCCAAATTGTTCAAATATATATGAAATTTTGCAAAAATTTGCTGCGCGAGGTTTAGGAATGAATGAAGCAGTTATGGTGGAAGGTCTTGAGAAAATTAGAAAACTGGGCTTCAAAAAAAGTTTTTCAGAATATACATAATAAGATGCAAATATTTGTCTGAAGCGTCATTATGAGAAAACCCAAATTTAACATTTCATCAGATAATTTCAATTGCCATTAGTCTTTACAAATTTAAAGAAAAAGATGACAGACTATTCATTACTACCTTTGATGCATCTAACATGCTGCAGAAAATTTTCCGCGGACATACAAAAAAAAAAACTTCTGCAGACCTGCGGTTGCAGACCACTGACATAGACCATGCTGGTCAATGATGAAAGATTACCGATCACGCAGATGACTGTACTCATATTTTTTCGCGGGAACGAAAAAGGGCCTGAATAATTGAACTCATATCTGCGGACCATTTGAATAACGCCCTTTTCAGGTCACGCAAGAAAAACTTCTCTTTGAACGCCTAGATGGTGCAAAAATTTCTTGCATCGCTACAAATTCCTCCATTCGTAAACGAATCAGAAAAGTTCCGCTTCTCGGAAGATGCGATCGTATTCCTTCATTTTCCTAATATTGTCTATATACTCTATAATATACTATACTCTCATAATTGTGTTTTTTTCTTTTTCTTTCTTCTGAAATAAAGTATCGAAACGAATGGCATTAATCTCGCTTTGACTGTCAGCAAATCTTCTGCGTGACATTATTTGCTTGTGTTCACCTTCACCCGAGTTCCCAATCCTGTACTGAACTCTCTTTACGATATTTAAAATGTTCCATGCAGTTGTGATAACTTGAAAAAACACGTCTTTCTTTTAGAGATTTACGACTCTCCCGGTCAAATACGTGCAGGCTGTATAGATGTTTTTCTGTTGTTTCAGATTGCCATCCTTGTAAATTTCAAACTGTGAATCGCAAAAACTTTAAAGGAACGTTTTTGCGTGGTATAAACGTCTTTTAACATAAGAATTTACCGCCAATATTCAGTACATTTATTCCTTCGATGACACCGTGAAATACAGGTACATTATATAGCTAAATAAAATGCCCTTCAGGTGTTGGGATGCAGCGGGAAACACTGAGAACTTCTTTAAAATGCTCCCTCATTTACATGATTTTCCCAAATGATAAAATTCAACGCGTCAAAATCGAAGAACCTAGTTTTTACCCATATATTTACCTCCTAAAACGCTTCTGGGTATACAATTTTCAATTTTTGAAAAGTAGTTCATGCGAATATTTTTCTCTTTTTCAATCAGGCATGAACACATCAAGGTATTCCTTTCAACCTCAGGTGATATACCTTTCCTGCATTATGGTTCAAGTTCCATTTATAAGAAGACACTCTCAAAATCAACAAATCCCACGCTTTTCCTTCGCTTCGAACATTGAAAAATGGGACATGCATTTATTTAAAGAGCTAGAAAAGTCCGTAAAGTAATTTGGTGAAGTTAAGGAGCACAACTGCTGAGATAAATGCTGCATCATTACACAAAATAATTTCTCAAATCGTGGCTATAAATACTTTTGTGCGTTTAAAAATCAGTAAAATTGGATGTATCATATGCCCGGATCATATATTACTGTACTGTACTCCCATCATTTACCCATGAGCAAAAAGGTTCGTTTATAAATTCGTGCATTTTTCGCGGACACCGCCGCATAGAATCGGATTCTTTCTTCCATCCCAATCACAAGTATCAATGATCTCGGAAAGCTAGTACAGTATTAATCCGATTCGTATTGATGACGTTCAGAAAGAAAAGAAAACACGAAGGAATGGGTCTGATTAAATGCCGTTCTTCTTCTTAGTCAACCACTCAACCAGACAGCTAGTTGACGGGTTCCATCAGCGACCCGACGAGAGTAATTTCACGTGCGAACGATCCCGCGACCCGGCATACGTGTATAGGTACTTCCGCCCTGTTGTGCACGTCTGTGGTCAAACGCAGTGAATACAAAGGGAACCGTCCCAAATAAGGGCTTTTATATACAGTATATACACCATACAGACGGGGTTGACTATATGACTCACGATAAACCCAGCAGAAATGAGACCATTTATTCAGGAAACACCAGAGAATCCATCGCCTGAGGTAAATAACGTTTAATGAAATCCGAAAAAAGGATTATCGCACTGATTGGTGTGTTTTCATCCTTGCTGATGGCAGAGGGGACAATGGACAATACTCGTATTTATGGATATCAAGTTGTATGAATGAATGAATGAACAGAACACTTTATTTGCTGCTTTTCAGCGTTCACAAGGTTCACTCAAGATTTCCACAACCAAACCCCCCTTCCCAACCCAAATCCACTCAATGACATTTTAATCACCTTAGAGCAGAAAAGCACAAATTGCTAACAAAAATAAAAGAAAATACAATACAACATTAAATACAACTGGACATCTGACATGTATGTATACACCCATTCATTCCCTGACATTGGTAACAAAATATATGTAAAAATTACTTTAAAGCGCAAGGTCTTCAGCTTGTTTCTGTAAGAGGTTTAGTTGGATGAACAAATTACAGAGAATCTTTGATAAGAAATCAGACAAAGCCAACAATTTATCTTGATCCTTTCAGATTTCAAGTTGCATAAAGGAGTTTTTGAGTTTCTTACGTTTGTACCAACAGAATTTCGAAAATGTTTTGGCAGTTGTATTCGTCTTGTCGTCCTCATACAGTTTATTTTTTTCTCCTTGAATGTCAAAGGGCACCTTCCGCGGACCGTTTTCATCTCATGGGAATTTCAATCTATGCGTTCGAAGGAAAATGCTTTCAAGATTTATGAAGAATTTCGAAAATCGTGGTTTTTTTCTGGGACCAATTGTATGCATGTTTCGTCGAGCCTTCGACGATAAGTCCTCCTCTCCATCAGCATATTATTGACCTTTGTAGGATTTGGGTCCATTATACCGAATGCTCTCAGATCGTATGCATCAAAGCGAATAAATTAATATTTTTTCTAATGAGGGACACCCCGCGATAATTGCGTTCTAGTAACCGGAAATTCCTTTGAACCCCAGAGCAACCCAACGAGATCGCCCATTTCCGCCGTTCTTTATACACAGCCACTGCCAGCAGTGGCTCTGACCCTATTGCACGAGCTGATCGACTTCGTATTTCCTCGTATCTTTTTTTTTTTGTATTCTTTTTCCTGTTATTGTCCTTGTTACCTTATAGCGGGGATGTCGAATAATAACAAAGTCGTGGCAGTATTTGGAGGGCAATCAAACGCAGTCGAGTATGGGGGCAGGATAAGCATTGGCGACACGGGGTTATTGCGTTGGTTTAAGCAGCACGAGAACCGCGGGACGTCCTCTTTATTTCTCCTTTATTCCTTTGCATATCCACGGGGAATGGTTGGAATGTTATTTTTTGAATGAGGAGTGGTTTTATTGCCCTGGAAGCACGTTTAAATGCTTTGACAAACAGACGGTTATTCTATTTGCGGCGTCTTATCTTTCCGCGAGCAGCTATAAAGGAGGAATTAATTTCCATCTGCTTTCGCGGAGTAGGTCTTTAGCTTGGAAATGAACTGTAACCTTTGCATATGATAAGGATATTTTTTCTGCTTTTCACGGGAAAAAATGTGCGATAATTAGTGTAATTACTTTGGATGATGACGTCTCGATTCTATCACGAAACCGCTGGACCTTCCATTTGCACAACGCCGAAAGGAAGGATCATCATTCTGTTAAATAGTAAAGAACCCTCCTTAATTATAGGAAATTATAAACAGTCTACCAAGAATACTGTGTTTGTCGTTCAACGTACAGTAAAATCAATTTTTCTTTTTTTATTCATGCTTGGGATATTTCTCCAATAAGTCTTCGGAAGGCTCAATTGAGAAGAGAATTTTCGGAAACTCCGGGAAAAAATAAATAAAACTGGCTCATATTGAGGAAAATGGGTTCCTTTCTTGTACACTTCCACGAACATTCAAATAATTGGAAAGCGCGTAATTATTTTAACTATTCGTAAAAGCGATCGAAAGGATTCGCAAGACTTTTCAGCAGAATTCCGATGAAATATTCCGTAAAGGCAGATTATTGTGGTATAGTTGCGTTGTGTAGTTTTTTATTGCAGTTGATGCGTGCCTTCAGGATAATTCGAATTTGGATAATCGAAATTAATGTTTTTCATTTATCAATTGATCTAATTGTTGTCCGAATCCGATGGATTAATGGATGGGAGGATACAATTCTTTAAGAAACTGTTCTTACAGACAGGTGAAAACTTGCTCAAGAGACCTGCTTT